AATGATCCTGACCTTGTCCAAGGCCTCCTAAACCAGATCCGTACCCAACAACCGAGTCTCTCGCGGCTCAAACCATCCAATCGGAGGCCGACACCGCCTACCATATAAAGCCTCATAAGGAGCCATCTGGATGCTCAACTGGTAGTTGTTGTTGTAGGCAAACTCTGCTAAAGGCAAAAACTGATCCCACGAGCCTCCAAAGTCAATAACACAAGCTCGGAGCATATCCTCCAAAATCTGAATAGTCCGCTCGGACTGACCGTGTGTCTGGGGATGAAATGCTGTGCTCAACTCAACCCGTGTGCCCAACTCTCGCTAAACTGCTCTCCAGAAGCGCGAGGTAAACTGCGTACCCCGGTCCGAAATGATAGATACGAGCACACCATGAAGGCAAACAATCTCCCGAATATAGATCACAGCTAACCTCTCAGAAGAATAGGAGACTGCCACAGGAATGAAATGCGCTGACTTGGTCAGCCTATCAACAATGATCCATACTGCGTCGAACTTCTTCCGAGTCAGCGGAAGTCCAGTAACAAAATTTATGGTGATCCGCTCCCACTTCCACTCGGGAAGCTCAATCCTCTGAAATAAACCACCAGGCCTCTAATACTCGTACTTAACCTGCTGAAAATTCAAACAACAAGCCACATATGTTACGATATCCTTCTTCATTCTACGCCACCAATAATGTTGCCGCAAATCCTGATACATCTTCGTGGCGCCCGGATGAATAGAGTACCGGGAGCTATGGGCCTCCTCTGAAATCAACTCTCGGAGCCCATCCACATTAGGAACACATACTCGGCCCTACAATCTCAAAACTCCATCATCATCTAAGGTAACCTGCCAGGCACCTCCGCGCTGCACCGTGTCTCTAAGGACACACAAATGGGGATCATCATACTGCCGATCATGGATACGCTCCAATAATGAAGAACGAGCTAACATGCAAGCTAACACACGACTGGGCTCAGAAACATCCAGCCTCACAAACTGATTGGCTAAGGCCTGAACATCCAAAGCAAGCGGCCTCTGACCGACCGGAATATAAGCAAGACTGCCCATACTAGCTGACTTCTACTCAAAGCATCGGTCACTACATTGGCCTTTCCCGGATGATATAAAATGGTGATATCATAATCCTTCAACAACTCCAACCACCTCCTCTGCCTCAAATTCAACTCCTTTTGCTTGAACAAGTACTGAAGACTCTTGTGATCCGTGAACACCTCACATGCCACGCCATATAGATAATGCCTCCAAATCTTCAATGCGTGAACTATGGCTGCCAACTCCAAATCATGAACCGGATAGTTCTTCTCATGAATCTTCAACTGCCTTGAAGCATAGGCAATGACTTTGCCATCCTGCATCAACACTGCCCCAAGCCCAACACGGGAAGCATCACAATAAACCGTATAAGGCCCTGAACCTGAGGGCAAAACTAACACCGGTGCCGTAGTCAGAGCTGTCTTGAGCTTCTGAAAGCTCGCCTCACACTCATCCGACCATCTGAACTAGGCACCATTCTGGGTCAATCTGGTCATCGGGGCTGCAATAGATGAAAATCCCTCCACAAACCGACAATAGTTGCCTGCCAACCCCAAGAAACTCCGAATCTCTGTAGCTGATGCTGGTCTAGGCCAGTTCTTGACTGCCTCAATCTTCTTTGGGTCCACCTGAATACCCTCTGCTGATACGACATGACCCAAAAATGCAACTGAATTCAACCAGAATTCACACTTCGAGAACTTAGCATATAACCGACTATCCCTCAGAGTCTGAAGAACCACTCTAAGGTGCTGCTCGTGCTCCTCCTGGCTGCGGGAATATATCAATATATCATCAATGAAGAATATCACGAACGAGTCCAAATAAGGCCTGAACACTCGGTTCATCAATTCCATGAAAGCTGCTGGGGCATTTGTCAACCCGAATGACATAACCAAGAACTTATAATGCCCATACCGAGTGTGGAAAGCTGTCTTAGGGACATCGGATGCCCTAATCCTCAACTGATGGTAGCCAGATCGCAAGTCAATCTTGGAAAATACCCTGGCACCCTAAAGCTGGTCGAACAAATCATCAATCCTCGGCAGTGGATACTTATTCTTGATTGTAACCTTGTTCAATTGCCGATAGTCAATACACATTCTCATTGACCCATCCTTCTTTTTAACAAACAATACGGGCGCACCCCAAGGCGAAACACTGGGCCTAATGAAGCCCTTCTCAAGCAAATCTTGCAACTGCTCCTTTAACTCTTTCAATTCAGGCAGCGCCATACGATACAGCGGGATAGAAATGGGCTGAGTGCCCGTAGCCAAATCAATATCCCTGTTGGGTGGCATACCCAGCAGGTTTGCCGGGAAAACATCAGGAAACTCACGAACGACGGGCATAGAATCAATAGAAGGGACCTCAGCACTAGAATTACGAACATATGCCAAATAGGCCAAACACCCCTTCTCGACCATACGTCGCTCTCCACTCTAAACGAGGCATACCCGGTAAAGCTAAGGTTACAGTCTTGGCATGACAGTCCAAGATAGCGTGATAAGGTGATAACCAGTCCATCCCCGATATAATATCGAAGTCAACCATGTCTAGAAGCAACAAATCTACACGAGTCTCAAGACCCCCAATCACCACAATACTAGAACGATGGACTCGATCGACCACAATAGAATCACCCACCAGTGTAGACACATAAACAGGAATACCCAATGCATTACTAGGCAATACCAAATACGGGGCAAAATAAGATGACACATACGAATACGTAGACCCCGGATCAAACAACACTGAAGCATCCCTATCACAAACCAGAACCGTACCTGTAATAACCGCATCTGAAGCCTCTGCCTCTGGTCTGGCCTAAAGAGCATAACATCGGGGCTGGGCCCCACCACTCTGATCTACCTCTCTGGGACGGCCTGCTGCTGGCTAGCCTCTACCTCTAGCGGCCTGAGCTCTACCTCTAGCACCTCTACCTCCACCCCTAGCTGGCTGGGCGGGCTGCGGAACATCTGGTGCATGTACCATGGCACGAGAATGCTGATGCTGAGAGCTTCTCGGTGCTCGAGGGCAAAACCTGGCAATGTGGCCCGTCTCACCACAAGTGTAACAAGCCCTCAGCTGCTGAGACTGCTGGCCCTGGCGACCTGAATGACCACCCCGAAAACTCTGAAGCGGTGGCGCACTAATAGGAGCAGGTGGTGCACTGTAGGACTGCTTATCGGAATACTGCATCTGGGGACCACGGCAATCTGAAGCTCCGTGAGAAACTTGAGGTGCTGACTGATAAGGCCTAGGAGGATGGCCTCTACCATATGAATCTCTGCCTCCAGATGAGGCACCACTGAATCTGCCTGACTGACGGGGTCTCTTGTCTGCTCTATGACCACCCCCTGTGATAATACCATCTCAACCCTCCGGGCCACATTGGCCGTCTCCTGGAAGGATATCTCACTCCCAGCCTCCCTAGCCATCTGAAGACGAATCGACTGGATAAGACCGTCAATAAACCTCCTAACCCTCTCTCTCGGTGGGAAGTATGATAAGAGCATGATGATCCAACTCAATGAACCTGGTCTCATACAGGGTGACAGTCATGGATCCCTGCTGTAGGCGCTCGAACTGCCTCCGATAGGCCTCTCGCTGTGTAATAGGGAGAAACTTTTCCAAAAATAGTTGTGTGAACTGCTCCCATGTCAAGGCTGGTGATCCTGCGGGCCTAGCTAAGCAATAATCCCTCCACCAAGTCTTGGCGGATCCAGACAAGAGAAATGTAGCAAAATCAACCCCATTGGACTCAACAATACCCATGTTCCGAAGAACCTCGTGGCAACTATCCAGATAATCCTGGGGATCCTCAGTAGATGCACCGCTGAATATAGAAGTGAAGAGCTTGGTGAACCTATCCAGTCTCCACAAAGCATCGGCGGACATAGCCGCTCCATCACCGGCCTGGGCTACCACGCCCGGCTGAGCTGCTCCGACTGGCTGAACTGCTGGAGTCTGAGTCTGAGGAGCTACCTGCTCCAGAGTACGAGTAGCAGGAGTCTGGACTCCTCCTCCAACCTGAGAAGTGGCTGGTGCTACAGGAAGAAAGCCTGCACGGGTGACACTCTCCATGAGGCCCACCAATCGAACCAAAGCGTCTTGAAGAACTAGGGTAGCAACCCCTCTGGGACCGGAGCTGGGCCCACCGAAACCGCTGGGGCCGGAACCTACTCGTCAAAATCAACTTGAGGCTCCGCCACTGGTGCTGCTGCTCGGGGCTGAGCTCTGGCCCTACCTCGGCCTCGCCCTCTGCCCCTCGAGAGAGCTGCTGCTGGGGGCTCGGGCTGCTGAGCGGTAGATAAGGAAGCGCGTGTTCTCACCATCTGCGAAAGAACAGAGTAGAAATTCAATTAGCTTTGAGAAATCAAATCGCACGACAAGAAAGAACAAATGTGAAACTTTTCCTAACTCTGTAGCCTCTAGGGGATAAATACAGACGTCTCCGTACCAATCCCTCGGACTTTACTGAGCTTGTCCTGAATTGTGAGACCAATGTAACCTAGAGCTCTGATACCAACTTGTCACGACCCGGATTTCCCACCCTCGGGAGTCGTATGGCGCCTACTCGTAGAAGCTAGGCAAGCCACAATCTTAGAAATCATTAACTCTTTTTGTTTCTAATTCCTTTTTAACCAGTTAAATTAACGAAAATAAACAAATAAATTACAGCGGGATATGAAATTTAGCGGAAGTCTTAAATAAAATGTAAAACCAAAACATCCTGAAGACCAACACGTGTCTCTAACCAGAACCAGGTGTCACAACATCCACGGACTGTCTAAGATTACTACAAATAAGTGTTTGAAAGAAAACAACATAGTCTGTCTCGAGTACAAATGACAACAGAACATAAAAACTAAAAGAAGAGACGCCGGGCCTGCGAACGCCAGCAGGGCTAACTCGGAGTCTGGGACTGAAGGATAGCTCCCAATCTACTGTAGATGACCAAGTGCTACTCCGGGACCTCGGATCTGTGCAAAAGACCACAGAGTGTAGTATCAGCACAACAGACCCCACTGTGCTGGTAAGTGCCTAGCCTAACCCGGCCGAAGTAGTGACGAGGCTAGACCAGACTACCACATAAACCCTAGTGCAATTATATAATACAGCGGAAACAAAACGCACAATAAACAAATAAGGATGGGAGGGGAAACGAATGTGCGGGAGGATAACAGTCCGAATAAAAGTACCAAGTAAGAAGGAAACANTGTGCAATTATATAATACAGCGGAAACAAAGCACAAATAAACAAATAAGGATGGGAGGGGGAAACATGTTGCGGGGAGATAACAGTTCCGAATAAAGTACCAAGTAAGGAAAGGAACAAAATAACTACAATGTCAACAAGAAGCAGAAATCAAACAAGTGCACGGCATCACCCTTCGTGCTTTTACTCTCGTCCTCACCAAGCAATAATATAATGAAAACGTGCACGGCATCACCCTTCGTGATTTTACTCTCTTTCCTCACCAAAGCAATTAGAATAATAAAATGTGCACGGCATCACCCTTCGTGCTTTTACTCTCTTTCCTCACATATAATCAATAGAATTGGCACGGAATGGTACATCGTGCGGCACGGCATCACCCTTCGTGCTTTTACTCTCTTTCCTCACCAAAGAAAACAATGCACGGCATCACCCTTCGTGCTTTAACACTCATCCTCACCCAAACAACAATCACAAACAAGGGCAAGGGAATAAACAAGAACTTATAGGAATCCCGGCAAGGGAGCAACAATTATACAATTAAATCCCGGCAAGGGAACAACAATTAAATAATTAAATCCCGGCAAGGGAACATTTCAATAACTCTTTCTCTATCTTTCAAATTTACTTCATAACTCACTTTACCACTGGAGCCAATGCTCCAATGGGTTCAATCATCTCATATACTTTCACAATTCACAATATAACTCGAGCCAATGCTCCAAGAAGTTCAAGGGTCTCAATTCCTTCCACAAACTTTTCACAACAATTAGAAATCATCACCAAAGCATGAAGAATACAATGAAATCAAGATATTCATAATATAAAGACTCACGGTCATACTAGACACCAACGTATAGATACTCGTCACCATGCGTATACGTCGTACACGACTAATACCACATAGCAAATAGGACTCAACTCCTAATTCCTCAAGCTAAGGTTAGACCAAACACTTACCTCGATGCCTTGAACACAACTCAAGTCTCAATTATAGCTTTACCCATTGATTCCACCGCCAATTCGCTCGTATCTAATCACAAATTACTTAATTACATCAATAAACACTAAATGAATCAACCCCAATGCATGAAAATGAGTTATCCAAAGTTTTACCCAAAAAGTCAAAAAATCATTCCCGGGCCCACGTGGTCAAAACCCGAGGTTCAAACCAAAACCCGATTACCCATTCCCCCACGAACTCAAATATATAATTTATTTTGAAATCGGACCTCAAATCGAGGTCCAAATCCCTAATTTTTGCAAAACCTAGGTTCTACCCAAAACACCCAATTTCCCACATGAAAATCTTTTATTTTAGGTTGAGATCATGTTAAAAGATGTTAATGATTGAAAGAAATGAGTAAAAACTAACTTACAATTGATTTGAAGATTGTTCTTGGAAAAATCGCCCAAAGGAGTTGTGTTTTGAAAATGGTGTAAAAATGACTTAAAAATCGGCTAAGTATAGAAAATTACAGGTCTCTGATATGGGAAATGCGAACAGGGGTTCGCAATAGCGAATCCCGACCTCTGCAGATGTGGGAAATGCGAAACGGGGTTCGCATTTGCGAAACCTTCATAATTTCCTAGCTTTCGCGTTTGCGAAGCAGTAGTCGCAATTGCGACTTCGCATTTGTGAAATAGCAGTTCGCATTTGCGAGGAAGAGTGGCCTGGGCTGGCTTCGCATTTGCGATCCAGCCTTCGCATTTGTGAGCTCGCAATTGTGAGCCAGGCTTCGCAAATGAAATGCGAAGCCTGCAGGCCTGAACACACCAGCAAATTTTTAAGTTCAAAATGCACCCCGTAGCCTATCCAAAACTCATCCGGGCCTTCGGGGCTCCAAACCAATTATACACACAACCTCAAAAACATCCTACGGACTTATTCATGCAATCAAATAGCCAAAATAACATCATAAACATCGAATTAAACCTCAAAATCCAAGAATTCTTTCAAACTTCATAAAACATCAAATTTTCCAATTTAGGTCCAAATCATGTCAAACGACGTCCGTTTTCAACCAAATTTCACAGGAAGGAATTAAAACATATATAAGACCTATACCGGGCGCCGGAACCAAAACACGGGCCTGATACCATCGCTTTCCAATCAGATTTCATTTCCAATTTCCTTAAACAATCAGAAAACAATTTTACTAAAAAATTCATTTCTCGGTCTTGGGACCTCGGAATTCGATTCCGGGCATACGCCCGCATCCCATATTTTTCTACGGACCCTTCGGGACCGTCAAATTACGGGTCCGGGTCCGTTTATCTAAAACGTTGACCAATGTCAAATTTATTCATTTTAACATCAAAACTTAGCATTTTTCATAGAAATTCATATTTAAGCTTTCCGGCTACCGACCGGACTGCGCACGCAATCGAGGGGACTCTAAATGAGGTTTTCAAGGCCTCGGAGTCATATAATTCAATTAAAATCAGGTGATGACCCTTTGGGTCGTCACACCCTGTTACAATAATTAATTTTATTTTAAATAAAAATGTGTCCTAAATAGTAAAGAATCAATGACTATTTTATTTTTGGATCTTTATGCTTGTTGAACCATTAGTATAATTCATATAAATAAAATATTATTTATTTTTAAAAGTCATCGTAAAAGTAAAATTATTTGTCAAATTGACAATTGAGTACTTAAATTTGTTTTCATAAGAAGACTATTGACCGGGAAAGAAATTGATTACAGTATACTATTAAGAACCAAATTTGCTAAAAATAAAAACTTGAAACAATAAGGATAAAATAGCAGTAAATGTATTCTAAATTAAATGAGTTATGATTTATTACCTTTTTTTTTCAACAAATGGCATCTCTCTATGTTTTATATATTAAGTTATTTTTTTAAAATACTAACTCAAGACTGTAAGTCCACTCATATGTAGCATGTTACTGATTCCTGCAAACATAAGTACTCAATTCGATAGCAAAACATGCTACCTTAACAAAAAGAAACCGAATAAGTAAAACAGTTTCAGGATTCCTTTATTAAAAAAAGAATTAAAAATCAAGTGCTCCAATTTAAGGGAAGGATCGCAGTTAAAATTCATTATTGTACATCGTTTACATAAGGAAAGGATTTATTATGTCAAATCTTACTTAATTTGTAATTCCTAAATATTAGGAGGGAAAAGATTTAATAGTCAATGTTTTTATTTATTTGAAAGCCTTAAATATTATGAAAATTTTCAAAGGGTAAAGAAGGCGAACAACATTTCGCTAAGAACTTTCGTGCTTTTAATATAGTACTAGTTCCTACGTTCGTGCTTTGAACGAATATCTTGAGCAATATCTTTTGTCAAACATTAAAAGACACGTTTAAGCAAAACAAAGATTTTGTTCATTAATGTTTTTTGTTCCTTTGACTCTTCAATACATATATATAAGCCATACATTTAAGTGTTTTGATTTCCTCTTTTTCTTTTGCTTTTTGCTCTTCCGATCTATGTTTGTGGAAGCATTATTTTGATCATGTCTTAGCAATTCATGTACCTGTAAACTATACTTTGTTATCTTCTATTAGGTAGTTCTGACTTTCTTTTTTATAAATGATTAATAACATAAATCATAGTCCATTTGGTGACATCCGATAAAATTGATATAAATCATAACTCATAGATTTCGCTCTAGTGTTATAATGCTTTTTCAATAGAAATAGAATATCAAATTGACTTCCTGAATAAGATAAAAAATTTTAATATTAAGGCCAAGATTTCGAAAAGACTTGTTTACAACATTTACAGTTATATGAAAATACAGTGCTAAAAAATTTTGAAGTCAAAGAAATATAAATCTTGTAATCCATGCGATAAACTTTATCACATTCTCATCATGAACTCAAAACCTAACTCTAACTTTTCTCATATTTTCATCGACATATGAAGACGTTAATGGTGCTACACCTCAAGAGCAAAAGCTTGATCATATTTAATTTGATATGGAAGTATTCATGCTGCATATAGTATATTTACTATTGCTTAACAAAATTGTAAGTACTTTTTTCCCATAGGAATGATGCGTATCAGGAAAAAACTCATGTAATAAATAAAGTACATAACCCCTTCATAATGAGTGTTAATAGTATAATAGGTAATTCAAAGTATTCCCGTTCATGTAAAATTGGTATATTTTTATACAATATATCAAGTAATGGAAAAGCTAGAACTTTACTGGTACTAAAAAATACGATTTTATTCAATTGGATATTAAATTTTCAAATCAGATACATATACTGAATCATATTTGATTATAATACCATAAATAATAATATTTTTTAAAAATTTAGTAGTTACACTTTATTCGAACATGTAATCTTACAAAGTGCAAAAAAGACATTTTACATTTTGATTTTTATAATTTATAATTAAAGATAGAAAACTTCTTTAAATAATCTTTTTTCTTGAAGAGGTATCTTGAAGAATTTTAATATTTCTGTGCATGCGATGTAAAGGATAATCTTATAGAATTCAATGAGGCAACAAATTACCCTTCATATGATGGTAAGAGATGTGATTGAATGTGTTCTTGTTCATACAGAATTGGTATAGTTTGGAACCTCGAAATAGGTGACATTAACGTTTGAGAAGTTTAATTTTATTAGAATTAGAAATCCATCCAAATTCGAATTGGGTAAAGTTTTAAATACTACGATTTTATCCAATATGAAGTTATTTTTTATAGAAATATTTTAATTTTTTTAAGGGCATAAAAGTCTATCAATATTTTGTGAAAATTTTTGTCATCCAACATTTGGCGTGGAACATTTGTGCATGTATGGAATATATTTGCTATGTTGGAACTTGGAAGAAACTTGGCTATTACCTTTTTACTAGAGCTGATTTCTCTCTGTGAATCTTATACTATGTGAGACGTGTAATTCTTATAGTTAGTTGATGATAGAATACACGATTTAATAATTTCGTGAAAAGATCACGTCAACTGAAAATTTCGATAACCAAATTAGGTGGTGTGGAGAATCATTATATTGTGGACCATAGTAAAAAACACGCATTAAGGACATGGCACAAGCACAAGAGAAACACAAGAAGAAGAAGAAAGACATAACTAAATGTTCCTCCTTATACCTTGGCAGTAGTATTATCACATCGTGCTGAAATGGGGAAAGTGAAGCCCAAACACTGAAATTTCTCTTGGGTTATTTGATCAATGGATTTCACCATATCCTCCGTCAAAAGATTCTTCCAATCACCAATTTCTCCTTTTCGAAAAAATGCACTGTTACTGTTCAATCCTGCACTTCTAGTCTTATTCTCCTCTAAGTTGCTTAAACTTTTCAAACTTTGGAAACTACAGCGACTCACTATTTTTTCAGGCACACCTTGCGCTTCTTCTTCGTCCTCAGAGAAAGGTTTCCCATAAACTCTGCTAACTTCTTCACATAACCCAAAGTATCACTCTTTAAATCTTCGTACGTCAAAAAGAACACTCTATTGGGTCTATCTACACTTGCTTTCCAGTATGTTGTAACGTGATCCCAAAAAGGTCCACAAAACGATTTTCCTTCACAAAAATTTTCGAACTGTTGTTCGAGTGGATTACTGGGGATATCCTTAAGTTCTTCAAAGGTTTTCTTTATTGTTTTAGTAAAATGCCATAGAGAAACAAATGTATCTTTGGATTCCCTACATATGTGAACGATCTTGCAATCTGTGTCTAATATGGATTGTGGTAAAAGAGAGTAAGGAAGATGTGTAGCAAACAATGGCAACTCATGAGCGTCTAGAAAAGTAGGGTTTAAGACATAATCAGTTTCCATTGTTGGTACAATTTCTTGGGTTAACTTGGTGGAGTCATAAAAAAGTTGATCTGATCTTGTCATAATAGAAAATGCCAAGGCTTTAAGCCAATTGGTGCCTGTTTTTGGAAAACTGCACAGGAAAATATCAGAAGATTCAGCCTTGAAGACCTCTGATAAAAATGCAATTCCTTCTAGGAAGCTAAAAGGGAACCAAAAGCCTTTGTATTGGCAGAATTCATAAGGAGGATAGGGAGTTTCTCGTCTGGGGAGGGTTGATATTATCTCTTTGTATTTTATGCTCATTTCCTTGAAATTTCCTGATCCATAATCGGTCGAAAAGCGACTAGCTTTGGGAGGGGAAGACGACTTCATTTTCTGGAATGGGCGAAATGGAACTATCTAAAATTGGAACCTGATATTTTAGGAGACAGCTTCTCCATTTATATAGAGGAAGAATTTGGGTAAATTGCAAATAAGTCATATTTTCTTTTGAAATTGACGTTCAAGTCCCATCCACAACTTTAATAACAACATAAAATGTCTTCTTATTTCAACCTTCCATATCTTTTTACGTGATAGGAAGTTTCCATATGCTAATGCCAACTACAATATGCTCAATTATGGGAGGTTTTATTGAAGCCTGAATATAATATTATAAATAATTGATTTCATGAGTGGCTAATTTTTTATAAATAAATACAGATGCCCAGCAACACTATTTGATTTACAAAACAAGCAGTCTAAAAATAATAAAAATAGCACAAACTAGATATAACGTGTCAGGTTAAACGCCAGCCCCCCAAGTATCTCGCCCACAATCACTCATCAAATCAATACTTTTCCTTTCTCGCAAACGCCGCCTCCAAAAATAGAAAAATAATTACACACATATTTGTTCCTATTTTCTCGTTCAAACATAAGGCTTTGTTCTATCATTATATACCGGGAAAAAAACGGATCATTATATCTATATATATAATTTATACCTCAAAAATACATCTTGACACTATTAAAAGATACAACACAAATACACCAAAGAAATATTAATTGTATTATATAAATCAATATCATCATATATGCATCATTTATATCTTGAATATACAAATTACCATATTCATATATACGTAATTTATATCTCATTTAAATTTCTTATTAACACTGTTAAAAATTCATCACATATCATTAAGTACATGTGTGAAAATTTTAAAAATATAAATCATATAAGCATCAGGAATATGTGTTAGTACAATATTAATCTTGACAATAGATTTAGTCATATTAGGTGAACTTGATTAGTGGTAATGGCTACCTACACCGTTAGTAGCCATAGATGAAAGCAAAAGGCTTCAAAAAAAAAAAAATTTGATAGAGAAAGAGGAAAGACTTCAGAATGAAAAGGCGAAAGTTTTAGTAAAAAACCGATTCCTTAATTTGGGGAATCTATTTATTTTTAAACCTGCATATGTATATGTTTTAAAATATGCTAAAGTTGAAAAAAAATCTATTATTTATGAAATAAACAAAGAATGATGCTATTAATGACAATAATATTTAATAAGTGATCAGCTATATAAAAATCTCTAGTATTAATTCATACTTGTTCAATAGTGGTCAGGAGACAAATCGCAAGGGCCCATGTGAAGCTTCCATAATTGAGCAATTAGTTGACATTAGCATATGAAAACTGTCTATATCACGTAAAAAGATTGCAAATGTTACATTTGGCTTTAATTAAAATCAATCGTGCAGTAGTTGCTTAATTAATGAATATAAAATAGAAGTAAAAAATTTAATAGAGCATAACTCATGTTTCTAAAAAATAAGAACTTTAATTCTATTCACCGACATACAGTGCATTGAACTTTTATGTTATTTAACTTGTTATAACATGTTGTTTGTGTCACGACTCATGTTCTCCTTCCGTGAACTGCCGTGACGGCACCTAGTCTCTACGATTAAGTAAGCCTAACTTTGCAGAAAAATGAAACGAAAACATAAAAACTAACAACTAACAGGTATATTTTTAATAAGAAATTAAGATGCCGCTCGGCATATACAATAACCACTCTCGAAATGTATATAAACTCTCCCAAAACCCGAATTTCTCAAGTCACTAGCTACAGAAAGAAGACAGTATTTATACACTCCAGAATCTATCCAAAAGGAAACACAAGAATCGTTTGACACGGGGAAGAGTAGATAGGGACTCCGATGTGTGCGGACGCGGCAGATATGCCTTGAAGTCTCTACAGCTGGCTCACCTCATTGATAATGCGGCTAAAAAGCAGTACCTGGATCTGCACACGAAAAATATGTGCAGGAAAGGGCATGAGTACACCAAAACGGTAGCCAGTAAGTGCCAAGCCTAACGACGGTCGAGTAGTGACGAGATCAGGTCAGGCCCCTACTGGTATAAATATAATGAAATAAGATAGAATGAAATATCACAGTCAAAATAAATATAGAAATCTAGCATGAATAGGATCATCGAAAGACAACAGCTCAGAACATAAAGATAATAACAGGGAATCTCCCACGATACCGTCTCGTAGTCCCAAATGTAAATGTGCAGGAGGGATTGATCACGCCCAACTATGCCTTATAAAAAGGACTCTGCGGACGTTGCAAATATAACCCGAGTATTACGCCCAGGGTCGAATCCACAGAGAGTTAACCTATCAACCACTATCTTCAGACCCACTAATTCTTCAGAACCAGCTTTCCAAATATTCAAATCTCAGTTGAATGTTCTTTAACAACTACGCTTGCAAGTAACTAAATGGCTGTAAACTAAACTAATAAGGTTGTAAACAATTATGATAAAAAGCTAAGGCAATGATTTCCCCTATTGATGGAATCCCTTCTGTTTATGCTCATACAAATTTACCAACACATCTCTATCAATCATGAACGCTAATCTTACCGTAAATCTCTCCCGAGTAATCACAGTAATTTACTATTGCACTCTCCCGAGATACACTAGCTTACTTTATTTAGCACGATTCACTTTAGATTATACCCAAGGCTTCGTTATCCCTAATCCCGCCTTTAAACCCGCAATTATAGATTCCTCTAATAATCTAGGAGTGGTGTTATTCAACAATACCCTAAATATGCACTCTTTTCCAAGTTATGCACACTAAATAGGCACAGCTAATTGAGGATCCTGTCAATTAACTACAACAAACACGAAGTTGAACAAATAGAGATTAAACTAGCAATTTGTATTCACATAAACAAGAAGTTCATGACCCAATAGGTTCCATCAAAACCTTAGACAAGGAATTTAGCTACTCATGGCTATGGGAAAATAAACTAAGATAGAATTCATCATAAAAATCAAAAGTAATGAAGAAAGATGTTTGGAGTATTCTCTCATAATGGTTTTCCTTGCTAAGAAACCCTAAAAATCAATAATGATTCTCTTGGGCGAAGTCTAATGTTTTAGATAGGGTTTAGGTCTAAAAATTCCGTATTTGACACTTTGACCCCTGAACTTTTCTGCACCTGCCGCGGTTCTGCCGCGGTCGCGATAGAACCGCGGCCAATCACCCTCTCTGAATCTCTAAAGTTCTGAAGCTGCCTTCCACCGCGGTTCTGCCGCGGTCGCGGTAGAACCGCGGCCAAACCATTTTTCTGAATCCTAAGGGCTGGCAGGGCGTAGCTTCATTGGGAATTTACACATTTGGCCTCTTTTCTTCAATTTTTGACTCCAAAACTGCTCCTTAGCCTTCCTTATACATATATCACCTGCAAATCATGAAAAGAACTAATAAGAGCATTTTGTTATCACTTTTAGCATTAAAACTACACAAAAAGGTGATTATTTAAGATGTGATTATAGTCAAATTCACCTATTATCAGGGTTCTCCCGGAATACCGTTCCGTAGTCCCAAAGTAAATATGCAGAACAGGGGGATCTCCCGGAATACCATTCCGTAGTCCCAAAGTAAATATGCAGTACAGAGGTATCTCCCGAAATACCATTCTATAGTCCCAAAGTAAATATGCAGCTCAAACAACAGAATTAACAGTTTCAGCAAGAAAACCTACAGTTTAGACTAAGTTCAAGTCAAGGAAAACAGAAAATTTCACTAAACATACTGCACAGAGTTCAGATAGGCAGTTAAAACACGTAGTCATGCTATTCTAAATTAAACAGGATAGTTACATATGCTAATGTAGTTCAAATAAGGAGAAATAGGTTATGACTTAGTGAAAAATGGAGTTTTACAACAAATAGCCCGTGTACGTACTCGTCACCTCACGTACATGCCACTCACATATCAAAACAGTACCAAATCCTAAGGGGAGTTCCCCCACTCAAGGTTAGGCAAGATATGTACATCGAACCAAGCTCAATCAATCCGTGATGATGCTCTTTCCACGAATATCCGACTCCGGATGGCCCAAATCTACCCAAATAAATTACATAACCTAAATATAAATACAAGAAACAAATCTAGCTAATGAAATCAAGACTAAAGCGAGAAATTAGAAAATCGCCCTAAAAAGCCTCCCTGGGCCCACATCTCAGAATCGGGTAAAAGTCACAAAATATGAACACTCATTCACTCACGAGTTCACTCGTACCAAAATTATCCATATTCGATGTCAAAATCTCAATCAAAACTCGAAATCTTAGTTGAAGAACTTCTTTCCATTTTCCCAAATTTTCACCCCAAATCTGAAATTAAATGATAAAATTAATGATAGATTAGTGGGATATAACCAAAATCAAGTTAAGAATCATTAGCCAATTGATATCTCTGAAAATCTCTCGAAATCTCGTCCAAATCCGAGCTCCCAAGCTCAAGTTTTGATAAAAATTGCCAAACCCTCGTTTTTAAAATGTTTAAGTACTGCCAAGTGATTCCTTCTTCGCGAACGTGGAAAGCCCCTCGCGTTCGCGAAGCACAACTTGCCTTGGCCCAGAATTTCTTCATCGCGAACGCGATGAACCTGTCGTGAACGCGAGGTCTACTCAGCTCAACCCTACGCGAATACAGGACCAACATCGCGAACGTGTAGGCATAAGGGCCTGGGGACCCAACTGGCCATTCCCTCTACCCGAACGCGGGATCTATTTCACGAACGTGTAGGCTAATCTTCCTAGTGCTTCGCGAACGCGGGACCTCATTCGCGAACACGAAGAACAAAATCTCATCTGTCACAAAGTCCTCTTCGGTTTTTGGGGTATTTTTCAGTTGAGAATCTTTTTTATAACTTGAAATACAAAATTTGTATGTTATAATTGAGTTTGTTGAGTTATATTAGGGGTCTATTATGTTAATTGATTCACTTTCCGTTTAAAAATAGTGTAATCCCCTTTTTCACACCGTGAATACGGTCGAATACCGTCGAATACAATA